TTTGAGCAATTGAATAATCACTTCCATTAAATGAAAGAAAGGCCAGGATTTCAACTCTTCTAAATCGAATAGTGGGAATTGGGAAATACAAAGCCCAACTAGAACATGGTAATACAAAACAATGGCTCGCCAAGCAGCTATACTGTTGGACCGTCGTTGGAAAATAAAGATGAAGATGGCAATGAGGGTTATCACTGCTGTATTTCTTCTTTGTTTAAAATGAGCTAGATCCCACATTTCAGTTGTGATGGATGCATATGAAATAGACCAAAAGAACTTTTAAAATAAGAATATTTTTTAAGCTTGGCTTGGTACTCTTAGCCTAAAATACAACAAGAGATCCAAGGTGTATAACCTTACACTCGGCAAAAGAAATTTTTGGGGTTCCATACATGTTTCTTAGTATTTTAAGTAAAATAAAATTTAAAATATCATAAAAAAAAAATTATTTTCCATACTTTTTTTTAATAAAATACAAGATTTATAAGTTACAAATGCACTATAAACCTTTTAGAACAAAAATTTATAATTTATATTTTTTAATGCACATATATTTTTATAGCATTTATCTCTAAAATATTATTATATATTTTTTAAAAAAGATATATATTTAAACATTAGAGAATATTCATCTTCATAAATTTTTTTTTTATATAATTATTAGTTACAAACTATCTTAACCTACTAAGTATAAATTATAAACTATCAACATTTTAGCTAAAAAGAATAGATAAAATTACCAATGTCAATTAATTAATTAATTATCCAAATTACACTACTTAAATTTTTTGAAACATTGTCACCCAGTTTAACTGGAATTTCCAACGAAAACATCATTTTCTCATCACATATGCTCCAACATAAAACCATAGAACAAAAAAGCGAAAGCAAGAAATCGTGACAGTGGTACAAATTGTATAATAAATGAGCTCGTGTATTTAGCACTCATTACATATAAGAGGGTGGGGGCGACGGTGGTGACCTCCGGGTACTTGGTGGAATCTCGGGAGGTATCATGTGACGTACTCTGCCTGGTTTTGGACTTGGAGGAGGGCTTAAGCCATTGACTCTCCCTCCTAGCATCCTTGTATTTCTCCCTGCATAAAGTCAAGAAATGAGGAACAAAACGTTGAAGTAAATTAGAGCTGTGGATTTCATTATATAAAATAAAAAAAAATTGACTAGAAATCACTAGAGTGTCAACCCTCACTGGGTATTAATCATCGAACAAATTCAGAACCAGAAAGTTTTCGAGCTCGATACCATCAACACCAAGAATCAGTGGATAGACTAATCAATAACTTGAAATACTAAACATCAAATTTAGGTAATATATAGCTGTAAAATTTATCTCCACTCACGTGTGAACATAACAAACCAACCTGCATTTACAAAGACCAACTGCAAGACGAAGATGGCCAGGACTGATGATAATAGTAATTGAATCGACGTTCGGCCAAATGAACAGGAAGCCATTGCCCTGTGGAGTAGCACCGACTTCTAATTTAAGCTCCTGCGCAATCCCATCACTCTAATAAATAAAGTAGAAGAGTTGAATTAGTCCATCGCGTAATTCAATGCCATAATTATGTATTATAGCTTTAAGACACCGCCTCTTCTCTGTGGAAGCAACAATTAGTTTACGCCTTTACCTAATCCTCTAGAGCAAAGAAAAATGCTGGAATAACAAATTTTCAACCTAGCCGGACGGGCATGACACCATCTCTGATAAAGAAATAGATCCACGACAGAAAGGGAGCAATAAAATATTTACAGTTTGTTATTAAAATAATATAATCCATTCACTGGTCATCTGTGACCAAAATATCGAATCCTTATAAAGCTGTCATGAGGGTTCAATAGCCTAAAATCAGTGGCACCCGAGTCCAAGGAACGGAAGGTCATGAGTAATTAGGTGAGTATCTTATATAATAGCTTGGATATCGTGCAATTAAAGATGACTTTATTCTATAATGGAAATGATTGAGGTTTTGTTGTAATTTATAAAGTGAGTGATATGTAATTAATAATTTTAGATGTTGGATAAAAGATTTTGAGGAAAAATCAATATATATATATATATTAATTTTTTATAGATATAATGATCTTGATATTATTTTTATTATAAATATCAATTAAATATTAGCATAAATCAATTAGAAACCAATCTTTTTTTTTCCCCGCAAGCTCTTTGTTTAAGTTCATATAAATAAATAAAAATTCTTAAGAAACTTATATAAATTATTGTTTATAAATTTCAAGGTTTTGTTATACCTGAAGTTATATTACTTTAACCCTGCAGCAACCATAATAAGAGCAATTTAACCCTGCAGCAACCATAATAAGAGCAATTAATATTTTAAATATAGTGATTTTCGCATCTCAAAGTCTTATTACTACTCATTGCTCTAGCAATATCTACTATAACTAGATAGTGATATGCTTCACGTAAATTATATAAATGATTTAATATATATTTTTATAGATCAATAAACAAGGCTTGGCTAAAAAAAAAAAAGATTAGTCATGCCAAACTAGTATAGCAACTAAACAAATCCTTATTTTTTATGATTATTAAATAAGATTCTAATTTTTAAACGGGATTTTATAAGCGCATAATTATATATGGGACTCCATCTAGCAATTTATTCACTACATGAATTTCCTAGAAATAGGCTTGGAATGTCCCATCTCACTAATTTTTCTAGATTTTTTGTGTTATGTCAGATTTTATATTATTTTTTTATGTCTTAGGATTTTGATCGCATTACCAAAAATATATAGGCTTTTTTATAGCCCATAAAAAAAATATTATAAATCTCTTAGATATATTATTGGATTTTATTTCATAATATAATAAATTGTGAATTTAGGGTTAAAACTTGCTATACTTTTCACTTATATAATTTGTTTTTTTCTGTGATTGCCTTCCTGTGTTTGTAAACTTTAATATAACCCGCTATGAATTAAAAACTAATCAATAGACAATACAAATGCCAATAGCCCACGGACAAGGCTTGTAATTGGGAGCAATGGGACAAAAATTTGCGAAGCCATGATTAAAATCCCTTCTCCTGTCATACATGCTTTGCAAGCATCCTCCTTTTCTATCCTTCTAGCCCAACAACGCCTATCTGACAGGCACGGACCTCGGATTCCTTGACAAAGAAAAAAAATCGTATAATATGATCGCGAAATGACCGAATTATTCACGGTAACGGTAAATATTTAATGATATTAAAAATAAAATTTAAAAAATAAAAATATTAATTTAATATATTTTTAAATAAAATATACTGAAAAATAACCAAAGCCACCAACACCCTTTAAAAGAGGTAGCTGGAGATAGAAAACACGCTTTAAAAAGAGTTGTTGGAGATTGAAGATGCGTTGTCGTTCATCTGAGAACTACTTTCAATAACATAATTCAATTGATCACACCAAGAACGAATAACACCAAAAAAAAAAAAAAGTGAAGATTGCCCAAATGCTTAAGCACAACCTTGGAAAGATTTGCAAATTCACATGTAGACATTTATGTTCACATAGTAAAGTAACATGGGCAACTTATCAGCTAAACTCTTCTATGTGAAAGCGAAGCTATATATCAAATTTTCTAGAGCTTCATTTGCCAGAGGGGCACGTAGCTTGTATTTCTTTCAGGTAAATTCTTACTTCTTCGTCTTCACTGTTTAGTCCCCTACTATTTTACTGTATGTGGTTACACATCGTCTGTTTTGAATTTCTGTGTTCTTTTAGAAACGTGAAGTTGATAATTCAAAGAAACAACAATTATACTCAATTTAGTTGATACTTGTCCAATTTTTAATTTTTTTTTAAATTAACATGGGTATCCAGGCCAGCTTGCGCGTACCAGACTAATCCCACGGGCCCTGAAGTTAACGACCATACCATATAAGCCTCCAATAACCATCATATGAGCAACCAGAACTCGAATTGAGACCAGAAGGAGCAAACTTCTTAATCCCAAGTCTTTACTACTTGGCCTCGGCCTCATTCAATTTTTAATTGATTAAATAAGTGAATGTTTAAAAACACAATCATCCTTATATTTTTTTAAAAATTAATTTTTTATTAAAAATATTATTTTATATTTTACATATTAACAAGTTAATCTTAAAATTTAATTTTTGTTTATGTTACATTGATTTGATATATTAATGTCAAATTTTTTTTAAAAAAACATCATTTTAATATAAATAATATTTTAAAAAATAATTGGAACTCGCCCCCCGAGCAAATAAAATTTAATATAATCCAACCTTATTTAATTGAAATCAAAGTCCACGATTGTTTACTATTTTTGATAGAAATATACAGATTCATTTAAAAACATTAATTTCGATATAACTGATTTGAGACAAGGGCGTTTACGTATGAGAAGTGGACCACCCCTTAGCATCTACCAGGAGACCAAGAATTAATTTCCATGTAACTGTTTAATTTAGAGAGTCAATCAGTTCACACGATCCTCGTAAAATAAGGCCCCTTGATACACACATTGTTTGGATACGATGATCACAGTTACTAGTGGAAGACACTGTTTGTTTTTTAGTACAACGATCCCAGTAACAAGTGGTTTGTCATCTTCAAGCCTTGTTTGTTTTTTAATTTTAAAAATATATTTAAAAAAATATTAACTTTTTATTTTAATTTAACTTTTTTATATTTTTAAATATTTTAATATTTTCAAATCATTTTAATATAATCATATCAAAAATAAAAATATTATTTTAACCTATTTTCATTCAAAAACTCACTTGATAAATATTTAAATAAAACAAGTCTTTCAAAAGACTTGCACCTTGTTCGCAGAATAAAACACATCAAGCCATACAATCATATAGCATTAAAGCTTCAGACTTTTGCACTTATACTCACGGAAACAAAGCTGACCACACCCGTATGGTATGATTTCATCCACCCACCGTATGAATCATGTCGGGGTCACCCATTATTAGACGAAACGCGTGGACAGATGCTCAAAATAAATTCCAAATTCAAAGAACAGATCAAGGAACATCAGAGCTAATCCAGAACTGCAGTATAGAACCAACTGAGACAGCATCCCCGAAATAGAAGAGGCGCGAACAGATATGTTGTGAACATCACAGTTCACATTTCAAAACACATGATTTATCAGTTGCTAATGTTAAATCTAGCTAGATAGACAAATGATTTACTCAGATCTACCAACAGATCAAAACTTCCTCTAATCTTTTCAACGATACTCATAACCAACAACTCGCTTTTGTCACCTGAGCATAAAAAAAGGGCTAATAAAAATCATTATACAAGACATGTAACAATATCCCGGGTAAAAGCAAGATCAACAAGTCAACGAAATGATACTCTTTTTTAAAAAACAAAATAAGAGCACGCATCATCACCATCATCATGTGACCAACGACAAGCATACAAGGACAGATCTTACCAAACTGAAGGATCTGAAGTAGGACAAGCAAGGGAAAGGGAGGAAGCAGCTGGAGATCACCGGTATGGGAGGCGTTGGAAAGAACAGACTTCGGTTAATTAAAACCAAGCAGTCCTGTCCAATCCTCCCATACCCGTAACTCCCAGCAACCCTCTTTCCTTTCCCTCTTGCTCCTCGATTAATTTTAGATCACGCTTTTGTCTAGAATAAGGAAAGAGAGGAGTCGCAGAAAGCAGATGGAATGGGAGGAGTAGGCAAGAAGGAATATTAAATCATGAATTTTTTCTTCTTGCATACTCTCCCATCTCCAAAGACTTGCTAGGACTCTCCGTTTCTCTCATCTATTACAGACCATGGACAGGAGCAAGTTGAAAACAAGGGCTTTCTAGATGGCGTTAATATAGGCAAAGAAAGCAAACTAGCAAGGTGCTTTGGATATGATTTTTGAGAAAATTACTTCTTACAGAAAGTGCGTTTGTTAACCTCTGAACACCACTTTCAAAAAGACGCGTTTGATGCTCCAAGTCCAATGTCTCGGCCCATGCCAAAAAGTGGTTGGTGTAGAGATAAGATGTAAAAAAGAAAAAAGAGTGGAGAGATTCTGGCCACTAGTTGAGAGTGGAGAGTGGACCTGGACGGTGGATGGTACCTGCTGGGTAAAGCAGCAATAAAGAGAACAGCGTCGATGCTGTCTGGGAACGCTTTTAAATTCGGCTTTCTAAAAATTTAGAATTTTTATTTACTTTATTTATTATTTTGATGGAGTAATATTAAAAATAATTTTAAAAAAAATATATTAAAAAATAATTATTACCATATTCTAATTCATCATTTCTACTTTCCACCCACTTCTACTAGAATAAAAAAATTCTAAAAAATAATTATTGCCATATTCTAATTTATCATTTCTACTTTCCACCCACTTCTACTCTCCACACGTGAAATTATTGTTCTCAAATTTTTTGTTTGATTTTTTTATTTTAATTATTAAAAGTAAAAAATATATTTTTTTATTTTTTATTTTTTTTTTATATTTTTTAAAAAAATTTTAATTATCAAAAAAAAAAAAATATTTTTTATATTTTTTGCTAGATTCATTAATATTTTTTATATTTTTTTATGTATTCAACAAAACTTTCACGATAAAGAAAATAAATTGAAAAATCAAGGCTACGAATTCAAATACACAGTTACTCAAGAGTTAGGATAGATGGACCTAAAAAATTGCGATAGGGTTTGCCTTGACTAAGCATAGGTGATGTGATGTTAAAACGTGAAACAAACAAGAAATTGATGGATGTATGTTCTGGATGTATATGGATTAGACTCTTCAATGGGCTACTTGATGTTATTAGGGCTGATGTTCTGGGCTATGAGCTAACAACACTTGTAGATGGCGTGGGTTTTTTCTAAGCTAGAGAGACAGGTTAGTGGATGTGCCTTTGCTCTCGTCCTCTTGCTCCGTCAATGATACACATAATCAACATCAAGGTTAGCGGTTCTTATTATAAGAAATTCCTGTTTTTTCCACTATAATTGTGATCCAAGAGCTGAAAGAAATCAGTAATGAATCGATGATTAAGCAAAGAATGAGAAAAAATGATAAGCGAAGCTGAAGCTGAAGCTGAAGCAGGAAGAGGAGAGAGTGGGGTTTTCATAGAGAGAGAGAATTGGAGGGAAAGGGAGGACTCTTATTTCATTCCCTTCCCCCCCGCAAAATCGTTCCCACGCAAAAACATTTCTTTCCAACTGTAATTTGACAGTTTTGCCACGCCAGCGCGGGTTTTCATAAGGGTATCTCGGTTATTTACACTTGAATCAATCTCAGTCCAGTTGCTTCCTTAAACTGCACGTGTCTTTTACACGTCACCATCTTACTTGCTAGGTGGGTGGAAGCCACTCGATCTCCTTGGTATACGATGTATGTAGATTATCAGGATATTATATGCTACTGGATCAACATCAGACGTCGATTCTGATTCTGATCAAAATGTTTTTGAATTGAACGGGTGAACGAAGGTTTCTTTCAGTGAATGGATCCCACTATAACACCCGTGTTTCAATATGTGTCAAAGGGCATCGGAAGCTAATGGTGCTGGCCGTGACTATTTTGCTTCATTTCCTTGGGCCAACCAGTGCGCTTTTGCAATCCTAGGGCTTTCATAAAACCTCCATGGATCCTTCCGACGGCAGGAATTCAGTACCAAAAAAGATCAAAGTCGGGACACCAAGCGCCCGCATCAAAAGTTTCAGTACCTCTGTAAGAAGGCTTGCAAGAAGGCCATTACCTCTGGTACGCTTGACAGGACAATTAAATGCTATGTTTTAGGGTATTTTAACCTAGGTATATATTTCAGTTGATGAAGTTTGAGATTTGTTTTTTTTTTAATTATTAAACTTTGAATTTTATAAATTTTAGAATTGTTGGAAGCTTATATAATTATTAATTTAAAATTTTATAAAATTAGTTGAGGTGAGCGAAATTAATTCGAATAATTATATTAATTTTTTAAAAAAATTAGGGAATTTTTTAGTTGATTCTAATGGATGAAGAATAATAAACTCATTAACCGAAATGGCTGGCCTTCTACAATCACATGTCCGCATTTCCGTTGTGTTCCCTCTCATCACTCCAATGAACAACTTGAAAAACAACAAAGTGGAGGAACAGATAAGGTTTATCAAGTTGCAACTTGATGAAATATATTTTTTTATTAATATAATTATTCCTGTTAACTTACATATATCTTCACTAATTTTATATATATTAAAGTTAAGAATTATATAATTTTTTAGTGATTTTAAAATTTATAAAACTTGAAATAACAGTAATTTTTAAAAAATAAATTTAAAATACAATGAGTTAAGCTCTATCAGATTTAATTTTAATTGGGTAAATATTTGCTCCTTTAATTGATGTCAGTGCACTCCGCCTCAATTTCTGGTTTTCAGGAAGGAGTTGGTTTCAATTTTAGTGCTACGCGAGGCACCTTGCGCATCAGTGGCCGTCTAGGGAAAAAAAAGAAAAAAAAAACCTTAATACTCCCTCCAAGCAATATAAATAAGTCGTCGATCGATGCATTCTTCCAATATCCATCATTTTACACACCATGGCAGCATTAGCCTATACAGAACCCATTTTGGCTATTGCTTTCTTTCTCATCCTCATTTGCTTGTTTAGAAGCAAAAATGGCCTTCCATGGAACTGGCCCCTCCTTGGCATGTCCCCAACGCTTCTTCTCAACTTTCACCGGCTTTACGAACTAGCTGATGAAATTCTCGAGATAAGAGGAGGTACTTATTTAATCAAAGGTCTTTGGTTTTCAAACATGGATATGTGGTTCACAAGCGATCCAGAAAATGTGCACTACATAACAACAACAAACTACTGGAATTACCCCAAAGGGCCTGAGTCGATGCAGGTGTTTGATACCCTGGGAAATTCGCTTTTCAATTTGGATTTCGAGGAGTGGACTTACTATAGAGGACTCCTCCATGCCTTTTTCAGTCACCAGAAGTTTCACCAATTCGTTGCGAAGGTTTTGGTCGACAATGTGAACAGAGGTCTGGTGCCATTTCTTGAAGAGGTAGCAAAACAGGCTTTGGTGGTGGATTTGCAAGATATGTTTAAAAGGCATATATACGATGCTGCTTGCGCGATCGCTACTGGATATAACCCCAAAACCCTCTCCATTGGTTTTGAGGAAAATGCATTCGTAAGGGCCATGGATGATGCCTGTGTAGCAATGTTAACTAGGCACATCTTGCCAGGGAGATGCTGGAAGTTGCTAAGGTGGTTACAGATTGGAAGTGAAAAGAGACTAAGTGTTGCAAAGGGTACTTTACGTCAAATTGTAAGAAATTATATGGCAACAAAGAGAGAGGAACTTAGTGCAGGAGCCAAAACAAAGGAAGACGAAGAGACCTTCGATGTGTTGCGATCTTTCTTGACTATAAATGATGTCAATGACAAAGAACACCCTGATGAAATTGTAAGAGACAGTACCATAGGTATTATTTTTGCAGCATATGACACCTCCTGTGCAACTCTCTCTTGGTTCTTCTGGCTTCTTTCAAAGAACCCGCTTGTCGAAACTAAAATCAGAGAAGAGCTTGACTCCAATTTCTCAGTGAAGGAAGGTCAAAATTGGCAGCTAAATAGCAGAAAAGAGTTGAGCAAGCTGGTTTATCTCAATGCTACCTTGTGTGAAACGCTAAGGCTATACCCGCCAGTTCCTCTCCAGAGTAGGACTCCAGTTAGACCTGACATTTTTCCAAGCGGTCACCATGTAGATCCAAAGGCTATTGTTGTTTTGTCAGGATATGCAATTGGAAGGATGGCTAGGGTATGGGGACAGGATTGCCATGAATTGAAGCCTGAGAGATGGATCAATGAGAAAGGAGATCTTAAATATGAAAGATCGGCGAAGTTCTTTACCTTCAACGCAGGACCTAGGATTTGTCCAGGGAAGGAGATGGCGTTTAGTATCATGAAGGCCACCGCTGCAACTATTCTTTATAACTACCATGTTCAAGTTGTGGAAACCCGCCCTGTGATCCCCAAAGCTAGTATAATTCTTCAAATGAAACATGGTTTGAGGGCTAGGATTAGCAGTAGATGGACTTGAGGGATCGCACGGTCATCATGTTGATGATGCATTATTTAAATTTCTGGTTGAGAATGAAGAAATAGATCCCTTCTTCTGAATAAGTGAGTAATACGTTGGAGTTATGTTGATAAAACAGAGAATTGAATGACTATCACATCACAGATAAGATGGCCTTAATTTGCATTAGCAAATTATATTTGATGGATTGTAAAAGCTGAAACTCTAGCTACGGACCATATGTGTTATTCCTATAGTATGACTTGGTTCAAAGTCTTTTTAATTAAAATGTTCAATGGTTTATAAATAAATTTTAGAAGTAATTTTTTAAAAAATTATATCTAGAAATCCTCTCTTGGTCTGACCAGCATGCTCTAGACATTGGTAACTGGCCATGAGGGAACGAGGTGGGACTTGGGGGCCATGCCGACACCTGCCGTTATCGAGATTCAATAATTTTCCACACGCCCCTAGGCATAAATTGGCAGACCTTGGCTTTTATACTAGCATTAAAACAAAACAAAAAAAAAAATATAAATTAAAATTTTTTAAAAACATTTCTGAAACACATTACCAAACACTGCATGCAATAAGATTTCGGCTAGCTAGGTTAGGCTCAAGGGCTTGAAGACCACCCGTCCCTGAAGGCGACAGTCCCAACCTCCGAGGGGACCACTTGCATTTCACTTTTAATAATTCATCGCAGTTTCCAACTACCAAGGCGAAGGCTTGGCCTTTCTAAGTCACAGTAAGACATTTCATTTCTAATTTCTTTTTATCTTAGGAAACTGATTAAGGAAATGGAAGAAGGCTCATCATTTATCATTTCCTTAATTGTTTTCAAATGAACTACTTGAAATATAAAAGATACCGTCCTAGCTTGTGGATCAAGTAAATTACCTAGTGATGGGTCCAAGATTTACAATCCTTGAACAAGGCCCATAAACACTCACATAATAACATTGGGTCAGGATTGAATGCCAGCCTAAAATCATTGTGTCCTGAAGTTTACCGGAATGAAAGCAGACAGATTGAGCTCGCGTGGAAATGGGCCATTGCTTGGATCCGAAGGGGCCTTTGTGAACTTGGTTCAGGGGCTGTCTTGGCAGCCCAACACCCCTCCAAGGTCTTCCACCCTCAGCTCGGGCCCAAGGGTGGGTTGACTATCCAACATGTCATCAACCCTAATCAAATAAGGATAAAGCCAACCCTCGAATGAATCCGTTGTCACTTCTGGGCTTTTGTTATCGAGTATTTCAAAACTATATGTGTAACGAATATATTGACCGCTTTATCCTTGTACGTACACAAAATAGGAGTAGGAGTTCAAGGCTATATAAATAACCCTAAACCCAAATGTAAAGCAAGATCTTCTTTCTCATTACAAACTTCATCTTCTTCCTCTTGTCTAACTGTAATACTTTATTTGCAACTAAACACTAGTCTTGCATTCTACTTAAGGGAGGGTTCTCAAGCCCACAGGGAAACTTGTTTTGCAAATATTATAGATGTCCATGGCCAACATTATCAACAGCTAACCTCATCCGTCCTGGAATAACGTTTACAGTGGAGATTTTCATAAACTTCATAGGCATAACTCTAAATTATCCCATTCAAGACCAAAATGAGAGATGTTAAGCTTGGAGGCAAAAGATCTACACCAGGTATGTTACTCAAGTCTTCTGTTCTCGTCTAGTTCAGTTTTGATGGTAAAATAATAAAGATAGCCAAGTCCGATGATATGTAATCATACTGTATATCCATAATTCCATACATGTCTCTCTGCGCATATATTTGGACTAATATCATTTATTCATGGAAACAACTATCAAGCCACTATTAGTGACAGATGTTATGAGCGATCCCCATACATAAATAAACTCATAAATACAACTTTTTATAGATCCAATTTTAGTTTATTTCTTCAAATAAAAGAATCTCTAACTTACCTAAAATCTTTACATCAACTTTAGCAGCCACAACCTTCTAGCTTCACGAATCAGCCATTTCCACGCTTCCGTACATCATTCTTAGGTTTCCTAGGAGTATATCTAATTTGCTTGTCTTGCCTGGAAAAAAGAAAAATTACACAAGTATTGTAACAGATCATAATCAAAATTACACATACTTTTTGCTCATGAATTTAAACTGCAAGTTATAAATAAATTACACACATGTACAGTCCGAAATACAAGTTTTTTGTACACGGGAAAAAGCACAATGGTCTCTGCCAAAGAAATCAGGCCAAGGCCCCATTATCTTTGTTCCACAAACTGGATGATTTAGAACACTCCTGATGCACCACATTCAGTGAGTGTATGAACAATATAAAGCAACAATTACCTTATTGTTGGAACTCCAGCATGCCATCACAAAATACTCATCCACGGGAAATCTTTGAGCAGAGCATGAGTTAAGCCATATGATAAATGATGTAGCATCATTATCCATTACTAGCAAGTCTAGTATGCAGACATCATCTCCTTGTGCACTTGAGAGCCATATAAATTATGGCAAATTACGACGAGGCCATTATCCACTCTTAACTCCCAATATTCCATAATTAATTAACCCAGTGGTACTATTGCCCGTCTCGTACACATTCCATGTGATTTACAACTTTTGCATCCTAACAATTAGCTATAAAAAACATTTACAGTGCTGTGGTTTATTTACATAAAGATACTCAAAGCCAAAACAGAGTGATCTAAATTTATTTTCGGGTTTGCTACTTTTTTTTGGTCACCCAAGATAAAAGAGAAACTGCATAAAAATAGATGCACTTTTTTTATATTAATAATAAGATACAGGGAGGGCAAATTTTGGACATTTGCAGCATTTCTTCAGCGCTAGCATGCAATTGATGGATATCCTAGCGTTATCAACTAGTCTTCGCTCTATGCCCTTCCCAACTTGATATTGGTATTGTAACTATAGACGATAAGATTTAGTTTTGGACTGTTCTGATTCATGACCTTCAGGCCTTGATACTAATTTGATAACATTTTTTTGTTCAATGGTTAAAAGAAGGTAGTCATGTATCAAAAGTTACATGGAGTCATAGATAGACCAAATAAAATATATGACTAATTGGAGAAGATAATGTTGCTGATGAACCAAGCAGCAAAAGTTTGACTCAGATCCTCAGAAATAAAATCCATGATACTTGTTTTAAAATCCTGGTAGGGGTATATATACTTACATCCGAGCCTTTTTCTTCTCTTTGTACCTCATCATTGCATTTTCTCGGGCCTCTGTATGTGCATCCTCAAGGTCGGGTGAATAGCATGATGCTTCACCATTAGATATATATAGTGAAAGTTCACTGTCAAGATATTCATTACTCCTGCTTTCAGCACCATGACTTGAAATGGAGTATCTTGAATAAGGAGACCTGATTGTCTGAGCAGGATCAAGACTTCCAGGAAAGTTATAAGATTGGTTGGAAGGATCCTTGTCATTGTCAATGTGAACAGAGCAGCTTATGTAAACAGATGAAGTAACAGAAGCATCCTGTAGATTTAAAAAAAAAAATTAGAACAAGAGAAAGAACACATATTGACCGACTCGTGTAGAGACTTATAAACATGATGGATGCCGCCCTGAATCCAAGAGCCTTAGCTGTTATCATGCATCCATCTGTGTATATAAGAACTCAACTACCTTCATTCCTAACCCATGTAGGATTCCACACCCTCACATATGCACCTCAACACTTTTTTTTTTTCCTTTTGTGATGCCACTCTCAAGTAGACTATCAACGTTACAATTAGCCCCCACAAACAACGGGGCATCTAATTTTCTCTCTTATGTTGGTTACATCTCCCCTCAAAAGTTTCTCTCGATATTTAAGAGGACTTAAAATTTTAAGAAATTTTGAGACAGTTGGAATATAAATGAAACTGCAATAGATAAGGGACTTTCAATGTACAGAGATCAGAATTTTCACTCGCATAAAGATTGAGGACGTACTAGAACTGTTATTTCTATCTTAAATGGTTAAGTTTGAGGATTTTGTAAGAGGAACGTATAAACAATCGGTTTAATCAGATAGTTGTTTAAACAGTGTGTTTAATGCTGAAAACAACCATGAAATAGTATAGACATAGCTCAAAAGGAAAAGAACTCTGAACTTGAAAGATATATGGTACTATCCGAATTCTAATTGCAAAAACCTGCTTCCTAAATTGCTTCCTAAATATTTTCTGTATGCTTACTTTTCCACCTGTCTTAACCACTGTGCGCCTTGTATCTGGCAACTGACATTTTTTTTCAAAAATTAAAGTGTCAAACCATACCTTCCTTGCTCTTCCACCACTGTTATTGGATTTCTCAGGAGGCATATCCTTCTCAATGAAGGAGCATGAGAAATCATTCTCATCAAGAAATGCTCCAGTTGGATCTTGATCACCCCCAAAGAATTCTTCAAAGTTGCAAAATGTTTTATCCACATCAGGTATGATATAATTATCATCATGGCAAATAATGTCTTCACAAACCCCAAGGTCTTGCATATTTTGAGACCACAACTGCAAAAGTTAATTAACAAAAGAGTCAAGAGGTTAATTTCAAACGGCAATCTAGGATCATTTTCTAGTCACATGTAGCCATCCTTTTTAATGTTGATAACTATTGAGCAAGGAAGCGCCACAAATGTCATGCTATTGTGGTGATTACATGCACTGTATTCAAGCAAAGGTTGAAGATTGATGCTACACAATTTTGAAAAAAAACAACCAAACTTCAAATCATAAAGTAACTTGATTCGAATTCAAATTCAACGTTTTCACATCTATTAATATATTTTTGTAGCTTTTTTCTGAACATCCACTTTCAGTTCCACATTCTTATCATGTAATAATAGTGTCATTAGATAATCTATTGTTGTATAGATTAGGTGATGCATCCGGTAAATAAATGTCATAACAGTCAGTGAAAAACAAAATGGTGATTAAAGTCTTATGATATAAAAGGATAGAAAAAAACATCCAGTAATTCGATGCAAATTGACACTCACAATAGCACCACAGATGCACATATTGCATGATGAAAATGCAGTTTGTTGAGTAAAGGACATGTTCATTTATGAAAGTAGCTTCTAAATATTGCCGATGATGCTATCTGTAAGTGTTCTTTTAAGAAAATAATGGATGTGAGATAAACTTATGGCAACGAAAAGGAAATGCAGAAATTCATATTGCCGGTTCAATGAGAAGAATAGGACTAAGTTTATCATGTATGAATTTATTGATTGTGAGAAAAACTTTCCATGTCCTCGAGCAATTATAACTAGAGCTGATTATCCAAAACCCACTTTTTGCAATGATTTGATCAAACCTGACTATTCTCTATTGGACTTTTGCATGGCCAAAAGGATTCTCCAGGCAAAGCATTTGCGGCAGTTGAAAAGAAAGGTAAATGTTCTGGCTGAGAAAATGGCAAAGGCAAAGAATCCACTTTTAGACCCTGAAGTTGGCAGTCAGCTTGTTGAAGATTGGTAACAAGATCTTGAGAATGTTGTGAATGATTGAGATTGTAGTCAAGCTTCTTTGAGGTATTCAGCATTGAAGAAACGTATTTTTGTTCTTGACCACGTTTCATAGGAGTACTGTTGTTGACATCAGTGAGCTGAAGCCTTTTCAAATCAAGAATCTGTTCCAGAATAAAGCAGGTACTTTCCTGCTGTGGAACTTTGTACGATAACTGAAAGATGATGAAATAGACTGAGAATGCAAACAAGAAAGGGTTTCGAGTCTTCAAAGAGAAAGAAAGAAAAATTAACGCATAGTTCTTTGTTGGTTCCCTAATAGTGAATCTAAAAGACCATTTTTATGGTTGAAATAGCTGGTTACAAAAATCATATTCCTCTGATGCAAAGTAAATAATGTAAATAGCAGGTAGCTCTGTGTTAAACTTCATATACAAAGTTGTATCAACTTGTAATGTTTCATATACAAAGACATTAAATATTATCCTAGTTGCAACTGCTCTGATTAGTTTTTACAAGTGGCAATTTCATTAGAAGCAATAGCCCGTGATCATCTCTATCTTAACTTCATCCTTCTACTAGGCAAAGAAAATGAGATATTAAATTATAGTTCATATATCGGCTCAGTAGTCTAGGAAGTCATGAAAAGTATCATGCTGAATAAATTTACAATTAACTTAGCTTCAATTTTATAATTTACCAATCAGTAGCTACAACATGGAAATTCAGTGCATATGAAGCTCCTGAAATCTAGAATTTACAAATTTACAATCAACTTAACTTAAAATTTATAATTTAGCAATCATTAACTAGAACATGGATATCAATGCATATGAAGTTCTAAGAATCTTGAGTTGGGTTGCAATTGACATCATCTTCCTAATATAATGCTGAGTGCACTCCTCATCCCTGGATTAACTTTTTTTAATTTCTTGACAAAAATATAATGGTAGAAATCACGAGGACAGATATAAGCAGCTACCTGGTGTTTTATATTATAAAAATAAACTCACATGAATTTTAATAACAATAATCTACAACCCCAATTAAAACAACAGCAGAAACTTCTGGCAAGCATAAACATGCTTAAAAATCTTTTAAAATTTGTCGCACCTCAGGTTGTTGATTGCCTGATCCAACATCAGACTCTGCACCAGAAACCAAAGTTGAGTGAATCATTCTAGATTTTCTTGAAGAGCGTCCAATTTGTTGGCAAGACTTCCCTGGAATGTCAAATTTTGATGCACTAGGTTGCACAGAAGAAGAGCATGGGGTGGAAACTAGTTGATCTTTAACAATACTTTTATCCAAATCCCCAAATTCAAAACCCCAAAGTGATGCAAAATCTTTAGCAGAAGGGCATCCTAAGTAGCTACTGACTAGCCGTTTCTGATGGTGGGAGGAGACCTCATGCAGGCACCGGTCACAGCCAAGACACATCAGCATCCGGTGGTCCAAACACTGAGCGTAAGCTGGATGGTTCCTGCATGAGTCACATAGGAGGGTACGGAGATGCCGGTTAAAAAGTGCATTAGCTGAATGGACCTTTGCATCGCAGGAAAGGCAAAGATATGCTGCATCAGCGTTACAGTAAACGACTGGCCTCAAGGCCATGCAGAATTCGCAAACTTTCTCCATTGTAAATAATTACTTCCAGGTCATCAATGATCCCACAAATCCAAAAACTCATAGGTTAAAGTTTCAGTTTTGTAAATAATAACTCCATGAATCATTTCAGGACCGACAGATACCTTTAACATTAAAAGACAGCTTTCCTTTTAGTAAATTTTTTCTGCAATAGTTTCCAAGAGCTGAAGCAAGCTTCCTGCATCCAAAATGAAGAAGTCAGTGGCATACTAAGTGAAACAGCTGGAATTTTCTTCCCATTGTAAAGAAAAAAAATAATAAATTCACCACCACAAAATCCTCTAAATGCGACCAGCAAGACCTCAAAATTGCTAGTTATCCACTTAGGGCAGTCTTCAGACTTGAGTTAAAGAAGAATCAATTCTGGGTTACGCAAAAGGTATTTTGCAAAACATGGTCAATTCGTCGGTTCGTTGACAATGAATAATTACTCTATGATCTTTAAAAATTATTTTTATTCTTTCAGGCGTGACATCCGCATGCTTACAGAATCAATTCAAGTGGATAAGATGTCTGTTGCTAAAAACTTTACAAGGAAACCTTTATTGATAACTTCAGTGCCTGTGTATAAGATAAGAAGGAAAAGGTCTGAACCTGCAAGAATAAATAAATAAAGAGGGCCTTCGGAGCATCACAGGTATCAGATCAGAAGAAATGGTCAAAATAATATAAAATTTATCCTAAACTAAATCATCAAAAAGATTAATATTCGCTCAATCAACACTAATTTTACTCCAAACAAAAAAATAATAATTATATTAAAAAAAAACAGTAAAAATGTGAGTACGCAACTGTCATGGAGGTGATTTCAAACCGAAAATTAAAAAAAAAAAGTCTGAAAAACATTAAATTCCCTCAAATAATTAAAAACCTATTCATCCCCAGATGAATAGTCAAAGAATGACATGATCAAATAACAGATCTAGCACAAAAGATGGCATATACTATAGATTATAATTCCCTAATAAAAAGAAAAAGAAAAAGGAGAGGCTTTCTTAACGTGCCTGTGATTAATTTCTTCGGAAGAATGGAGACTCCAGAAAATGATCGGAAAAATTAAGCTCAACAAGAAGAGAGTGGGGGAGACTTAAATAAAGCTGCTTAGCTTTCTCCCTCTTGTTCATCGTTACCTTTTTAGGCTGACGTGTAAGCTTGGAGGGTGAACTTTTTGCTGACGTGGAACTAGACACGTGGTTTTCATCACGGGTCCCACCACTAGCGTTATCCTTCTGCATGTGAATCCCTCCCACCCAACTTTTCTTTTCTTTTATTTGGTTTTATTTATTTTTTTCCATTTACTATCAATTTTCCCCTCTCCATGCGAGCAGATAATATTTCTAATCGGGTTTTTAAACAATGAGTTTTTCTATATCAGTTCGACTTTATGTTTAATATGATTGGTTGGAAATCCATCAATTCTTAAGCAATATGGAAAAAATTATTTATTTATAAAAGGATATTGATTTATTTATTATAGAAAAATGACAGTTTAACTATTTTTAACAATAGCCATTTACATATAATTATTTTCATCTTGCATATAAATACTTGGTTAATTGTAATGTAACTATTTGTTGAGTTGTAAATTAGGGACACCCTAGAATCAATTACATTTGCCAACAGGCAATAGCTTCTTCTTTTTTTACTTCTTCTTTTTTTAGGTTTTCTAGAACTAATTATCTTGTGAAATTAAATTTAATTATAGCATTTCATTTTAATTCAACTAATAAAAAAATTTAAATTAACATGTTTAGATGTGATCAGACTTATTTTATTTTGTTTTGTATATTATTTCCATTAGCTTTATCTTATTTATTTAATGGTTTCTAAAGACAAATAGATAAGTGAGTATTTAAGAAAAATATTTTTAATATTATTTTTTTAATTTTTAATAAAAAGGATTGATGTAGAATTTATTTTTCTGATATTAAATTTCGTTTAAAATTCAATTCTTAATAACTAAAAAAATTACAAATATAAATTTAATTGTTTCAAAGATTCTGTTAGCAAATCGGTGGTTAATGTCTTTTGTGCGTGAGAGTGAGGAAAGACTTGTCGTGATTGGGATCCGAAAGTCGTCCTTATCCAGCCAATCGTTGTCCAACACGTCTTCGAGGTTCAAAAGATGACAGTTATGAGGTTCTTTGAGGCTGTTAAATCCACGCGCCAAAGGAATTAATTACACTTCCCACCAGATTTTTCTAACACGTGCTCACGGACACTTTTTTTTTTTTTTTGCCCCTTTCCTTTTCTTTTTCGGATGGCTGCTAGAAAACATGCTAATAAAATATAAGGTACATTAGTTTTCCCTATTTGCGCTTGAATCACATATTTTATAAAAAAAGATTTCCCGACAAATTTTGAATTACATAAGAGAGGTATGTCTCCTGTTTTAAATTTCATCTCAGCCTTCCAAAACCTTTCATTAAAAATCCCAAAACCCAACCATTGATCTGGATTTTTTGGGCTCAGTGGCAACCACCTTACCGTAGCATCCAGGGGCAAGAAAAAAATTTATAAACCAAGAAAATAAAAAATTAATTGAAAAAATTAAACTATAAAAAATTAATTAAAATATTTTAAAAACAATTAAATTTATTTCAGTTTTTATTTTATAAGTTTGAAATCAAAAAACAAATTGAGCCGAATCGATTTAGTTAAGAAATAGACCAGATCAGGCCAAGCCAAATAAAAAAAAATCAATTAGAAACTTCAAAAAACCCAAAAACGATATAATTTTCAGTTTTTAATATTAAATAACTAAAACCCAATTAAACAGAACCGAAACCAATACTGGTTTCACTTTTGTTTTATTTTTTTAATAAAATTTCAGTTTAACTATTTTTATAAATAAAAATTAAACCAAAGTACAAACAATCACCTTTGACATTAGCCTCTATCCATCAGAGCTTTCTTTTTCTAGTTCTGGTTCCGGAGAACCTAGAGAACCGTACTAATATTAAAGAATAAAACACTGGGAGTTTAGATCAACAGAGAATCTTCTTAAAACAAAATGTATACACCACAGTTACAATATGCTCCACTCTCAGAGATGACACAAAATAAATTTCTTGATCAGACAACTCGGTTTTGTCGTCTCCGAATCAAATTCAACATTCCATGTCTTGTGCTAAATAAAACAGATCTGTACAATTGTCTCAAGTTTTAAGGCTTAGAACTTAATCATATCCTCAAATAAATAATCAAGAACTGGAGGGCTAATGGATGCAGGCATGCTTTGCAGAAAATAATAATTCTAGCAGTAGCCCTTCGATGTCGTGGACGCTAAGGCCACCAATACAACCCTGTCATCAATGTAAACGTACAACCTCGAGTTACATGTACGCGCGGGTTTCTGCTTCTTTTTCATTTTTCATGATTCGTCGGTTTTCTTTTCTGGCCATTCCATTACAGTGAATCTTAAGTGGTAATATATTCGTTCTTTATTATCTCGAATCTAGAATCCACACGAGACTTAAAAAATAAATAAAATTGATTCGATGTCCTTGCTTCTTTTAAATGGCAGACTTTTGCAGTTAAAGACGCCACTATGATTCAGAACAATTCCAAACATTCGATTTTATAATAACTATTCAATCCATTCCCAACACACGGGGAAAAGAAGGACAACGCAGAAGACAACTAACAAACATATCATTACTTTTTTGACACGATTTCTTGATTTCTTCAGCAAGTGCAGCAAGTTAACCGGACAATGATAAGAAAAGTAGATTGATCCATGTTTTAACTAGATTGAACAATGTTCGAAAGGATGTGCTAAATCAACATCAACGTCCTTGCTTATCTGTTGTCGACAGGGAAATTTTATTCCCTTGTACATCTGATCAAGGCTTCTTACTTCATGGTAGGATGAATATCCTCGTTATAATCAATAGAATTTCTTTCCTTCAAACTTATCTTTCCTTGATGCGTAGAATATACATGCTAGATAAAAATTAACATTCCTAAGAAATTAAGATCACTTTATGCTCGTACTTAGATTTCTACATTGGTTACAGGACCTCTGAACCAATGACGAGCACTCAAGATCCAAGAAGAGATGGTAAGAATTAGCAAACCACCAACAGCTACAGGAGTGTAGTTGAGCGTCTCGTTAGTGATGGGGTAGGTTACAGGCAATGAGAAGAGGATTGAGATAGTTGCTACCCAGAGGACTGCAATCCATCCAACAAGGACACCATAGCGACCCAAGTTGAATGGTCCCGGGATAAAAGACTTGCGTGCCAAAGTCAACCTGAAGAAAATGGGTAGGGCGTAAGCAATGTACAGCCCAATCGTAGCAATAGAAACCATGGCCTGAAATGCCACCTCACTTCCAAGATACTGTAGAAGATAACGAGCAAACAAGGGGCACACAGTTAGCATATAGGAAGAAGCAATAAGTAGAATGCATGCAGACATTAGTGGTTAAATGCAAAATTGTGTGCCTTGGCCAACCACAAAAATGACATGCTTTTTACTAGGTCTGTGCCTACTCTCTCTCCTCAACCAAGTTTGTATTTGATATCATGTCCTGGATTCATAGGCAATCAAAAGTATGGGCAAATAAAATAGTCATTACTGAATGTAGTCTAACGACAAACTCCACAGCATGATAGCAATAAGATTCTTGAAATGAAATTCAGAAACTATGACAAATATAGCAAACTGAAAATGGTGAAAACTGATTACCGTCAATGCCATGCAGAATGATATGACCGCAGAGAGCCAAACAGCATTTATGGGGACCTCCTGCTTGTTCACTTTGTGCCAAAGTGATGAGAGTGGCATGGCTCCATCTCTAGAAAACGCATAGGCCATCCTGAAAATGAACATTCAAAGATTACTCAGCAATCAAGTAAGGATTGTAAACTCATCACTAGTTTCAGATAACATGAGATATCAACCAAGCGAGATTACCTAGAGTTGCTTGTAACTGAAAACAAGCGAGATTACCTAGAGTTGCTAGTAACTGAACTCATTCCACAGAAGAATATGGCAACAGCAACCACTCCCAAGCAAATAATTCCACCAACCCCACTGCCATATCTTTTCTTAAAAGCTAGGTAAAATATTTCAGCAATGGCATAACCACCAGCATCATTGTCTTCACTCAAGAGGTAAGAGATGTTGGTGACTGCAAAGGTGATACCAAGTATGTAAAACCATCCAAATATAACTGATATCCCGATGGCGCTAATTATTCCTTTTTGGCCATTCTTATCCGCATTCTTAGTTTCCTCTGTCTAGAAATAACAGTAAGAAAGAAAAGATTATTTAGTTTCATTCCTCCAATTTTCCATAAAGCAGCAGAAAAGTGGAAAGGAAACACAGTTAATTAATTATGCAAGTAAATAAATATGTGAGCTTGTAATGCTTTTGAAGAAGGAACTACTTGATTTAAACAAACTGGATGTTCTTGGTTTGACTTTTGAGTTTATAAACAATGAAACATAAACGTGAGAAGTAAAGCAACATCTGAGATTCCCATAGGAATTAGGACTCTGCGTGATACGAAGAACAATTCAACTTACCATATGAGCAGATGCATCATACCCAGTGAGGGTATATTGACTCATCAGAAGCCCCAGAACAAAAATGTAAGCTTTACTATTGATTCCATCCCCATTATCAGTGTTGAAGTGTGTAAACACAAACTTGGCACTAGCCCTTTCCGTTGCAACAAGGGGAATGAGTATTGTAAGAACCACAACACCTAAGAATGCAAAGGTTCAGTAAAAATTGAAACAATAAGAGAGACAGAGAAAGATAGTTGGCTAAAGAGAACAACGATAAACTGTAGCTGGAATTTTTCATACCTACAAGATTCCAGGCAGCAGCCAGCTGTCCGAAGAAAGATAAGAGTGAGATGGGAAGACTATTTAGTGCAGCATGCAGGAGTAAAATCCCCCCATGCATAGCAATAACTACATATTTGGATGCTTCATATCCACCACCATTTTTTCCACCTGTGCTAAGGAGAATGATAACCTGAATCAGCTGTGCAAGTGAGAAATCTACACTGGTTGTAACAGCCCACTGGAAATAAGAATGTACATGAAGTGGTTAGAATTTATAACAGTGGAAACTGAAGGCAGCAAAATCGAGTGTGGATTCTTAGCTGTACCTGACCAACAATGTTGAACCTGCAAGGAAAAAAGACAATTCACTGCATTAGAGTATGTTCAAGGGAGCAAAAGTGGCTGACTGTACCAGCTATATATCTAACTTTTTCTTGAAAAACCAAAGAAGACAACATAATTATATCAGTGATATGAACTCAAAAGAATAAGCTGGAGAAAAGCAATGACTGCTAGATAATTAAATTCACACCCTCAAATTCCATGAAGATTCAGCTCAATACAGAATAAGAACACTTACTATGGTTTGTTGACTCAAGTTTCAAGCGTGGTATATATCTGAGGTGTTGTACAGAAACAAATCAATTGTATGTGTCTTAATTCACCCTCACTAAAATGAAGGTCAGTGTGAAAACTACATTTAGCGAATCACCATTTCTTTCTTTCCTTGGTGACTAAAACTTTTTGAATTTCTCTGCGAGCATCCCCCAGAAAGCTTGTTTGAACCCACATTTATTCTTGCAATGCAGATGCTATAATACATTTTGAAGCATGCTCACACAAGCTAAATAAATTCATGAACTCAAACGTATTGCATAATAAGAAAAGGAGCATGTCCATACCATTCCAGCGCATTATATTTCAGCACATCATCCACCTGAGTGTGATTGTTTCAGGCTCAACGCAATATTACTCTGACTCCATGGGTATGGTTACTAATTAACCAATTCAATTTGCAGTACAATGAGCAAAGTTCAAGCATAAAATGTCAGAAAACTTCAAGTTCCCGCGGCCTATAATGTGAAAAACACCAGCCTATAAACGGTGCCCAAAAATAGAGGGATTCTGAAACCATGACCCAGGAAGGAAAACAGAGAGCATCAAGCATATTGAGACCCTTATGTCATGGCTTCTACTGCGGGAAATTTTGCGCAGCCTAAAAAGTTCCATGTTTTGAAGTAAAGGATTAACAAAGTTGGTGGTAACAACGATAAGGTCATGAGAAATGAAGGCAAATAAATTGTGAACGCCAAACCACAGAATTCCAAAACACAATCGAATTCTAAGCTGGCAAGATGATTTAGGAACCAAGAAAACTATAGGAAACAAGAAATATTACCAGCCAGTTATCCAAGATGCAAAGGGTGCCCAATTAGGACCAGCAAGCTTTGCACTCCAATAGTAAAGACCACCAGAAGTTGGATAAGAAGAGCAAATTTCAGCCATGGATAACCCAACAATCATGGTGAACCCACCAGCTATGAACCACCCATACTGTAAAGAAACTGGCCCTCCAAGATTGAGACCAGTATTGTAAAGTGTGGTTATACCAGTCAACACTGATATGATCGAAAATGAAAACGCAAAGTTGGAAAACACCCTGCAATTTTATAATCATATTGGTCCAATTCATTGGTGATTCATCAGAAGGAGAAGGTTGCCAAGAAAGCTTCAAAACAGGAAACAAGAAAAGGGTTCTTGAGAGATTTACGAGAGATCACGCTTAAGCTCTTGTTTGTAGCCAAGCTCTTTAAGACGGGCAGTGCCTGTATCAAGGAAACCGCCGCCGTTTTGAGCTGTATAAGTTGGAAGACCCATGAAGATGAGAGAGATAGAGAATCAGTAGCCAAAAACCAATCAATCTCTCTTTCTAACTCTCTGTCTGTTATGTTCCCTCCTTTCCTATACTCTACAGCTTGTCTCAATTTTATCCTTGTTTGCCTGGTGTCGACGCAAGCAATCTTTACAGTTAACTACAGTAAACATCTCACTGCTATCCAGGAAAAGTGGATAGTACACCAATGGCGGGGTGTTTTCCCTTTTTAATGTACTTTAGACAAAATAATAAGCGATGAGAAAGTTTAGATGAACAGTTTGGTAAATATCATTTGCATTTCGATGGCATGCGCGACCATCCCAATCATTATTAAAGACTTCAACTTTACTTTGTAGTGTTGATTTCATTATTTTCGTGTAATAAAAATTATTTTTAAAATATTTTTTATTTAAAAATATATTAAAATATTTTTTATTTTTAAAATTTATTGTTGATATAGTAAAAGATAATCTAGAAATAAAAAGAATTAAAGAAAAAAAATTCGTAAAACACTTTATGAAAATATTTTTTTATAATACAGGGTTTAAAAAAATTAAAGCAAAAAAAAATTAAAATTTCAAAAAACACTATGAAAATATTTTTTTATAATACAGGGTTGATTCAATGTATTTACAGATATTTTCTTTCTTTTTCTATTTTTTACTCATCTCTTTTAATTAAGATTTGTTGCAGCTTATTTTTCTAAAATACTATTATTCTCACCAGTCAACGAATTTTTTAGAAAAACAATTTTCATTTTTTGATGGCAGCTTTCATATTTGGTCACATAAAGTTCGAAGGGACATTAAGGAAATAATATTTTTACCAAAAAAACACGAAAGAGGATCTCGGATTGTGATTTGCGAGGATTTTCTTGTCCGGATATAATTTTGTGAAGGTGCTTTTTCAGGGGAAAAGGGAGGGGGCAGCTTACAGGGGATATCACTTCACCACGGTGTGAGGTTATCAAAGGACATGCAATTTATGGAGAGTGGGGGGCCCTGAATCTTGACCGACCGTGCATGGAAACACCGCAGCGTGCCCATTTGTTAGCCCAGAATCACGTGGTCCGACCATTCTCTTAATTGTGTCCCCAGGGCACCTATGTTTTTCTCTCTCCCTGAATTTTGTCTGGGTGGCAAGGGATAAAAGATTTTATAACAGAAGATGAAATTTCCAGCATGTCTTGCCTCTGTGGTTTATTAAATAAAAATATTCATGTATAAATTTAAAGTTTTTTGCAAGAGGAGATAAGGAAAACGGGAGTGGTGAGGTGGGGAGAGAAGTAGCATGCAAAATAAAGGACAAGAGATAAGGAGATTGGCTTTCTCATGTAGTAACTCTAGCATCCATCTCGTTAACAAGTTGCAGGTCTAAAAAGAGTCTGAAAAAAGGATGTGATCAGGACAAGTTTGGAAATTCAGGGGAGATTGATATGAAAACTAGATTTAGGGGGGAATCTAAACAAAACATATATTTCAAGGGAAGATATTTAAATCTACTCAGAAAGAAAATTTCACATAATCTCTCCACAAATAATTAGAAGAAAAAAATCAAACAAGGCCTGCAGTGACAATTAATGAGGCTAAGAAACAATGTTTTTTTAACAAAAATTAGTGCAGATGTTAAACTCATAACATTCGAAATGATACATGTTTGTCATTTTACTAAGAAACCGACAATTGAGCTTGAATATAAGATTCGAAGCTGGATGAACTTCCTTATTAACAGTAACCACGCAAACCAATTCTTCGAAGATGAGTAGGATTGGGATGGTTTATACCATTATATGCATCCAAGGCTTGGATGGTGTCATGGTCTAAGCTAACTCTAAAGGTTACCGTACATGCAATTATTTCTTTTTATATTGGCTACATATACTTTTTTCTCCTGGTTCATGTATATGCTTTATGTTTCCTTACAGTGGATATCCATTTTCCATCTGTAGATATCAACCTTCCTTTTTCCAAGATTCAACCTAGCCAAGAGCCAAGAGATTTCTCACCGGAGGATATTTTCCCGGAGACATACTATATGTTATACTCATTTCATACATTATGCAGTAAATGCAACTGCACAAAGTCAATGGTCGAGACTTGAAATAGTAATTGTCAAGATGGTCCCTACTATCAAACCTGAATACCATATATTTTATAAATGCAGGTACCTTCGTTTCATATACAATGAACAAGTCAGGCCTGAGACCGTTCCTTATCAGTCAGACTGATTCTGAAAAAGCCTAACAATCACGAGAGCTAGCTGTTTGCGTTCAGTGATGATATAAATGCTAGCGGGAAAATGTGAACACACGTTTTCGTGGCAATTATTACTTGGGTCGCTTGAAAAATATTATTTTTTCCATGGTTAGTTTATATAAAATTTATATTTGGTTAAAATTATAATTTAATTTAATTTTAATAAAAATTATAACATATTTAGTTAAAATTATAATTGGAGTTGATATTATATATAAAATAATTAAAAAATATATAAATTGATTTATTGTTTTTTAATAAAAAAATTAACATTTAATATAAATAATAATCAGCATAAAAAGAAAATTATTCATTTAAAAAAAATAAACTTTATTGCTCTATCAAACTTGTTGTAATTTCATTATGAATATAATCCATACGCGAAACCTTTTATTCTCACATATTTGTGATTGTGTAACCATATCAGTTAAAGTATCACTAAGAATAAAATGAGGATGGCAATCAAACTCGATATATATAACATCTTTGATTGACTTCTTTCAAATGTAGTTATGCAATATCATTGATGTCACAATAATTTAAACTTGTGTTTTGTAAAGAAACACTGGTATGTTTTGTAAGATTCTCCACATTTTCTTTCTTCAAACTCTAAATGTACATTCTATTACACATCATAACAATAAATGGACATAGTTAAACATCTCTTCCTAACTTTAAAGTTGTTTTTGTCAATAAAATTCAGGAAGATAATATATCTTACTTTTATATGGCACCAAGTAATCATACTCATTTAAATTTCTCAAATTAGTTAGATAATACTTCCCTACAATAAGATAATAATAGTACAAAACTTATTTTTTATTGCATACATAAAATAAATTTATTCAAATTGAACAACATCTAAATTTTTTATTTCATAATATTTTCTAGTGCTTCAAAAATCTTATATTTGGATTGTTAATTGCCTCATGAAATATTCGTATATCATGTGTACTACCTTCTCACCTAGCCCAAATAAATGTAAATTGCACGTCAAAGTTACATGTTATCATTATATTTTAAGTTGGTACACCTTTTTTTATCAATAAATAGTATTTAGTTTACATGTGATACACAAGTACGTACATGTATTCCATCAATCATGCCTATACACTTCTACAAAAACAAAAAAATAGTTTCAAAATCAATTTAAATATACTTCAAATATTTTTTATAACCTTTTTTAATTATTTAACAACTTAGATAAAGTATTTAACAACCAATAAAAATTGCAATAAATCCAAGATATATGCCACATTTCAAGGTGAAAAATATTTTATCTAAGTTGTTAAATAATTGAAAAATATTATAAAAAATATTTGAAGTACATTTAAATTGATTCTGAAACTATTTTTTTGTTTTTATATAAATGTATTGGCACGATTGATGGAACACGTATATATGCTTGTGCATCAAAAGCAAATCAAATACTATTTATTAGTAGAAAAGGTGTACCAACTTAAAATATAATGGCAGCATGTCGCTTTAACATGCAATTTACATGTATTTGGATTGAGTGAGAAGGTAGTGCACATGATATAAGAATATTTTATAAAGCGATTGATAATTCAAATATAAGATTTTCAAAGCCATTACAAGGTATTGTGAAATAAAAAATTTGGATATTGTTCCATTTGAATAAATTTATTTTGTATTTGCAATAGAAAATAAGTTTTATATTATCATTATCTTGTTATAGAGAAATATTATCTCTTTGACTTGGGATATCTAAATGAGTATGGTTACTTAGAACCATATAAAGATGAGAGATATTATCTTCTAGAATTTCATTAACATTAACGAGGATAACCACAAAGTTGAAAAAAAATATTCAACTGTGTCTATTCATCGTTACGATATGTAATAAAACATATATTTGCAATTTGAAAGAAAAGGTAAAGAATCTTGCAAAACATGTTAATATTTCCTTACAAAACACAAGTTTAAATTGTTGTAGCATTAATGACACTACATAACTACATTCGAAGGATGTCGATCCAAGATGTTGCATTTAATGAGTTTTATCATCATCCTAATTTTATTCCTGCTATTTAACTGATGTTGCTGCACAATTACAAATATGTAGGCATCAAAGAACTTCACATATGGATTATGTTCGTGATAAAATTGTAATAAGTTTAATGAGACAATACTGTTCATTTTTTGAAATGAACAATTTTCTTTTTATATCGATTATTGTTTGTACTAAATGTTATTCTTTTAATTAAAACAAACAATAAATTAATTTATATTCTTTTGAGTCATTTTATATATAATATCAACCTTAACTTTAATCATAATTTTAACTAAATATATTATGCTATAATTTTTTATAAAATAAAATCAAATCATAATTTTAATCAAACACATGTTTTATATGAACTAATCACTGTAAAAATAATTTTTTTAAAATCATCTTTTTCAAACCATAACTGCAATGATTATCATAAAATCAAACACACTCAAAGTTTGCTACGCTTGCGGTTACCACGCAGGTTTTTGTGGGTCTCGGATGACACAATATGTGGTTTGCATCTAAACAAATATATTAAAATTGTAATGCAACCTAAACACATAACCTAACACAGTTTAAACTGAGACTACTTGCCTAAGTGTGGAGTATGGAGTGTAAACACGTATCAAGAATAGGTGGTTGAAACTCCCATGCTGATAACTCCAAGCAGAATACTCGGTCGCGTGTTTTTATCTAAACAAGTTGGAAGTTTCGAGTTGCGATCGTGGAAAGGCAATCATATATGCCTTGTGACGAAAAACAAATTAAGAGGAGCAATCCTATTCCTATAATTCTACAAATCTAAAAATGAGTAATTACCAGTCCTATATTTATCAAGCATGGCTGATTTTCTCCTTTTTTTTTAAAAAAAAGTGAAGTATATTTTGTAACCATTAATAAACTCTAGTAGTGTTTGGAAACACAGTTAGAATTGTGTTTTTTTAAAAAATTGTTTTAAAATTGTTTTGATGCTGATATTAAAAATAATTTTTAAAAAATAAAAAATATATATTACTTTAATATATTTTTAAATAAAAAATATTTTATATTAGCAAAGTTGAAAGTTTATATCTTTTATTAGATTAGATGCTGGGTCCATTCTAGACATTTGATTGGAAAAGCCCTCCTGGATTCTATTTTAACAGATTGGGCCTTAAAACCATCACGTCTCTGCATTCGGCTAACGGCTTTTGTTGAGCTACAGATATACCTAGATTTTTTTTTTTCCATCTCTGAATTGGGCCTGGGCCCGTCAAATATGATGCTGTCAGACCGCAGAGAGTAGAGAATTCTGGGCAGGATTGGAGCCACAGCGAGGATGCCGATTGGCATTTGACACAAATCATAAACAATCAGAAAATGTTTTTTCTAGCCCAATTTCAAAGGTCAAAACCATCTTTATCAAACCGCAGTTCAAAGTCCAAAACTTTTATTGAAAGAATAAAAAATTCTTTTTTTTTTTGGAACTCCCCACTAGTTTTGCCATCCTTCCCTTAACAACTAGTACATTATCTTTGCATTCCGCTACAAATGGGATAAAATTTTAAAATATATTAAGAAAATATAGAATTTTTTTATTAATAATTTAATTATAAACTCTATGTGGGGTCTTCTGTTTTTTTACCTAACACCTATTTTGAGTATATATTTTTTTATTTGTCCAAAATACCTAGTAAATATCTTAAAAATCTTATTAAATTAATCTAGGCCACAAAAAACATAAAAAACCGCTCAAAACACAGTATTCACCCAGCACAAAAGTTTTTTTATCAAGCTTAGATATAATTTTATAAGTGTTTTCAAGATAAAAAAACATCTAATATTAATTTTTCTTATCATATAAAGCTATTTAATATAAAAAAAACAATTATTATAGAGGCTGAATTCATCCCCAGCAAATACTTTCTTTCTCTAAATCAAAATGAGGGGCTTGAATGAATTTTAATAGAAATTTTCAGTCTATCACATATATTATTTGTTTTTTTCACTCATATCCCCTTTCTTTTAACTCAAGCCTCCCTTGCCAAAAAAAAAAAAAAAAACAAGTAATTAAGTTTTAATTTGGTTCCAAAAGAGTTCGATCATAATTTTTTTAAATCACAACGTTATAATTAACAGTGAAATGGGAGAGGATGCACGTTATTTTTTATAACACTAAAAACACCGTACGTTTTTGCATTATGTGCATTATGTATAGTAATGTATAATGACATTTTTCCAAGTTTTTACTTTCTGTGTTTATATTTTTTTTTTTTAATTAACAAGATGATTGGACTAGTTTACATGCATGGCTAATTTTATGGTCTTAAAGTTAATGATTATATTTTTAGTGATCATTATATAAATAATTAAAAATATAAATATAAAATTATAAAATAAATAAATTTTTTAATTTTTAATTTTTATCATTTAACTACCTCTAAATAATTTTATAATTTTAATTATTAAAATTATTAGTGAATGCTGCCTAACAAGAATTGCATAACGAAGCCCAATGACCTTATACTCCACTCATCGTTTTATCACTGGTCAGATACATGCATAGGTTTAAATTAAACAGATCACGGGATCTCCATCAACTACTTTAATTAAATAAAAAAAGGCGAGCTAAGAAGAAATAAGAAGGAAGAAGCGCACTTACCAGCCAGTGAGCCAACAAGCAAGAGGCCCATTAAAAAAAAAAAGGCGAGCTAAGAAGAAATAAGAAGGAAGAAGCGCACTTACCAGCCAGTGAGCCAACAAGCAAGAGGCCCCCAATCTTGGCCACAAAGCCTTGCACTCCAAAAGTAAAGCCCGCCAGAAGTAGGATAAGCGGAACAAATCTCAGCCATAGACACCCCCACGGTGAGGGTCAGCATACCCACTACTGGCCACCCATATACCATCGTAACTGGCCCACCGTAGGTTAGACCCGAACTGTACATCGTTGTCAGACCGGTGAGGACTGACACAATGGAGAAGGTCACTGAGAAATTTGCAATTAGCCTACACGAGTCGCAAGATAAACAAGCCATATTCAGCGGAAAAGAAAACATAGACGGGAAGTTTAATTTATCAAGAGTTGATCAAGGAAAGGATATACGCACGAGAGGGTACGGCTAAGTTCTTGCTTGTAACCCAGCTGTTTCAATCGACTGTCATCGGAAGCATTAACAATGCCATCATCATTCCGAAGGGGGAGATAAACACCTGCTGTATCTTCATTCAGATCTGTCGTTCCGCCTCCCATCTCTTGAGAAGCTGAAAGGGAGAGTGTGATGTTTTGTTTCTGAATTTCTCAAAGATCGATGTCCAAGCCTTTAACATCGATTGATGTTCTTGTTTCTATAAGGGAGTCTGGTTGCTGTAAAAAGGAGCAATTCCAATCTAACAGTCAAACAGACAAACAACTCCTTTCTTGTAAATTTCTTGCCTTATTTGCCTTCTCGATTGGCAAGTAGCTTTGCTTTTTTCCATGAGTAGAGAAATGATGGAGTGGGAATCACATGCTGCTTTTCTTTATTGTTCTTTTTGCGGACCCCCTTGGCAATTGTATAGTTGTTGTTTGCACGATTGAAACTGTTATAGCGTGTTTTTTACGGTCACTTAGCAACCAGTTTATATTGTTTTTAAAAATATTTTTATTTAATGTCAGCTAGTTTATATTGTTTTTAAAAGTATTTTTATTTAAAATATATTAAAATAAAATATTTTTAAAAAATTATTTTTCATCTCAATAATCAAAATATTTTTTAAAAAAAATTATATTTTATCCAGACTTATTTAAAATGCAACACCGAATAAGAACCCAGGTGACTTTCAAAATAGTTCGTAAGATCTAACAAAACACGCGCAAGTAAAGCCCGCGATCAAACGGAGCAAGGGATACAAGTCTGCTTTTAATTCATGTTAATAATTGGATTTTATTCAAATTCAATATTCTAACAAATACATGACTGCGCAGGTGTCAGCATTCTAAAATTCTTCGTATCTCCTCTTTCTATCCCAAGAAATGAAGCCAATCAAGTTTGAAAATCGTAGTTTTAAAAAGAAAAAAAGAAAAGATCAATGATGATCCCAGTAAAGAAATAAACGTTTTTTTTTATTTAAACATTCGGTTTGAATATTTAAAAAGGAAAGAAAAAATAACAGTTTTATTCCAAAATAAACGAGAATACGAGAGCATAAAGGTATGTAGAGAGATGATTAGACTACTCTAATCACGTTGAGTTTAACCTTTTATTTATGAGCATAAAAAGACGCAGCAAGTTACACTCTCCTCTCCTTTCCTTCGTCTTCTCAGCAAACAAACAGTTCGAATGGAGTCCAAAACGAACAGTGCCGGGCATCAATATTACTGCTCCGCTGAACGGAAAATGAAACTAGCATTGGGCACGCTGTTATCATGGACTCAGATGACTAGTGAGCGAATACAGAGTATACAGGGATTTAGAAGAGGATGTAGCTGACCTGAGAGAAGGGGAAAGAACAGAGAGTGAAAGGGCGAGAATTTTAAATTCAAAGAAAATGCGCGTATCACCTGTAATCTAACTGCATCATTTTCCCTCGGTATACGCTTTCCGCTGTCATGAAAGAAAAACATTTCCTAGTCATGTATATCAGAATTACTCTTTCCGTTACGTTTAAAATGGCATGTATATCTAGTTTAAAAGATAAAACAAACCGGAACAGGTTTTATTTTGATTAGAATCTGGATTCATCCTGAAAATGTCGTTCAAATTATGTCCAAAACATTACAGTTATGTTATGGTTTTTCTATTCTGGTCAAATAGTGTTTTGTTGTTTTTTTAAAAATATTAATTAGTTATACAATATTAATTATATCTTTCGGTTCGATCATTGAATCAAAATCTCCTTATATATTTTTATATTTAAAATTAAAATTTTAGAGCAAACAAAATTTAGAAAGGTCTTGTAAAATTACTTATAGTATTTTTATATTTTATTTAAATCTATAATTTTGTTCATAAACATTATTTTACAGTATTTTTTTTATAAATTATTTTTTTTTTAATTTCATCATTTAATTACAAGTTTATTGATAATTGAATTTTAGAGTCTATTTTAATTTACTTTATTTAAAGTTATTATAATTTCATAATACAAATCATAAATTTGAAGGCTGACTCAAATTATTATAGATTGATTAAATATGTTATCGCCTTAATATTTTTTTAAAATATTTTCTCAAATTTTTTTAGTCAAACAATATTTTACCATTCGTTCATATTATTTTTAGATTTGTTGAATCAATGGGGTCATATTAATTTAATTTATTTTTTTATTTGTATTTGAAATTTCAATTGTATAATTTTAAATTAATTTATTTTTTTATCTGTATTAAAATTATATTTACTAAATTAACATTTTAAATTATATGCATATATACAATCTAGAAAATACAAGTTAAAATACTTTGAAACCAAAAGAATTGAAAAGAAAAGATTGACAACCTTAACTAAAAATGATAAAAATATTTATATTTATGATTTCTTTTTATGCATCTGTTTTTTTATTAGTAAATATTAATAAAATATTATTAATTACTCTGATTACAACGTAAGATTTCTAGTAATTATACCAGGAGTCAGAAAGCTACACGCTCCGAGCTTTGCTGTAAAGTTTCATCCCAGCTACCAGTCTCCTGCTCATGTTAGCTGCACTAAATTATGCTTCAAAAGCATGCGGATTTCTTTCCTTAAAATCACAGGCTCATGTTAGTAATTATTCTGTTTCTTTTGTAGCTTTATGCAACGCCCTGTAACGGATCCGGCACCGCACCACTACGATAAAGTTATGAACTTACATTTTCAATTTATTTTATTATATTACAAAGTATTCATGGAGATGCCAAATCCCAACGTGAGAAAATGTCAAGTCACTCGCAATCTCTAAAAGCAAATGGGACGCATTTACGTTATTATTGGTGACATTTTTTTATTATTAAATTGTTTTTGATGGAATTAGTAATATTATAATCAAAACTTTAAAATACCTTTTTGATTATTTTTTAATTTTTTTTCCTAATTGTAATCCGTGCAAAGCATTTTATAATTTTTTAAAATGTCACTTTTCAAAACAGTGCATTTTTCAACTGCAATATAAACTATGTTATTTTGGTAGTTTATTTTTTAAATTTGTTATTTTACTATTTTTTTAACTAAAAAAGTGCTATTTAAAAAAAAAATTGCGACCGTGCAGGCTCCAATTGTAGATTTACCGAATTATCCTAAGAACTCATATCTGATCGGAACTCACACTCGCTTATTAACTCGAATCATTGCTCATTTCAATGTGTCTCTTGCCAATTGGTTGAAATATAAATAATACTAGCCAACAAAAAAGGACAACAGGCCTAGCTGATTAAATTGAGGCTAAATTAAGTAACATGAACATCATTCCTTATCAATAAGAACCCGTTTGGTAGTAAATAAAAAAAAATATATTATTGTATATAGATTTTATGTTTTTTCACATTTTAAACATAAAAGAAAAAGAAATAACATTTCGCTACTTTATGCATACTGTTTACACAATATAGAATACATTATTAAGTAAATAATGGAAGAGGTTTATACTATTCACTTGAAAAACAATTAATAATGCAATTCTCTTTTTGATAGTGAATTGTACTGTTCACGTGATACATTATTAATTTTATTAATATTTTTTTCTTGAAAAACTAGTATATAGTAAATTAAATTTACTCGTACTATAATATCAATTTTATATCTAATAATATTTTATCTAATTTTATTACACGATCAAAATATAAAATATTATGAAAACTGTAATTCTTATTGGATAAATTTTGTACATACTGTTTACACAGTATAGAATACATTATTAAGTAAATAATGGAAGAGGTTTATACTGTTCATTTGAAAAATAATTAACAGTGCAGTTCTCTTACACTGTTTAATAGCGAATTACATTGTTCACGTGAAAAACTAGTATATAGTAAATTAATTTATTCACACTATAATATCAATTTTATATCTGATAACCAAACACATTAAACTATTTTTTCTTCAACTTTAATTTCAACCACGGTTTTAACCGAACACCTATTTTTTCGAATTAATATCAACTAAAAGTACTTTTTATAAAATAACACCTATTTTTTCGAATCAGTATCAACTAAAAGTACTTTTTATAAAATAACTTTTTTCAAACCACAACCACAACAACTACAGCAATACCTAAGAATACCAAACACGCTCTTCATCACATAACTTCAATGAAGGTTGATGAAATTTGTTTTGTTTTTGGTTTTTTTAAAAAAAAATTATAAAATTTAATCACAATTAATATATATAGATTCATTTGAAAATACCATGAATATAAAAAATATACATTTTTTCATCATAAAGAATGCTTGTAGAAGATAATAGTGATTATTTTTTATTTAATTAGTTTTAGGTTATTAAAACCAAAATTGAATTAAAATGAATTTTTAAAAAATATTTTTATTGATAAAAATATTTCAATTGATAAAAATATTTCAATTGATTTTTTTATATAGTTTAGTTTTTTCAATAAATTTTTTTAATTTAATTGGTTTTTTTCTCACCCTATCACAAGGCATCCACGAATATCTACACTCATTTATTCATTTGACTATACTAACACATTCTATGGACCAAAAGTCAAGTAGAGAAGAAAGAATCCACCTCATAAGAAATATGGACAAAAGTAGATCACAAGCTAGAAAATGCTTAGTCACCTCCTACCGGATTCCAAATCCTCCAAAGCAGCAAACTGGTTTCCGTGTTTCCTGACTTGCTGACTCACAACGGCTAAACTAATGGGCTGCACGTCAAGTTCATTCACAGACTCCCCTGAATTTGTATTGGAACGTGACTCCTCCAGAGCTCTGAAATATTCATAAGGTCCCCATCCTGTGGTCAAGAATATGAACAGGGAAGGCTTAGAAAAATTCATCACTTTCATTAGAGAGTCACTCTCACTCTCTCTGCAGGTTTTTTTCATGAAAAAATGACCCAGCGCTGCTTGAGAACGAACTTCTAACATGTCCAGATGACGCACTCCGCACGCGACAAGATGTTAAAGTAAAGATGCTATTGCCTTTTAAGAGAAAACACAGCAGGGATGCGATATCTTATTCAGAGATCTAGAAAAAATGGAGCCCGTAGCGACAGTAACTAATTAAACTGGGAAATAAAGGCGATGGAAATCTTACCTTCATCATTATATGGGGGTGGGAATAACTGTGCATAGCAGAATGCTGCCACAACCAGCCCTGTTACCATGTGAAAGACGTCCTAAAGTCAAATTTTGAATTCCATGTCTATATATATTGCTTTCTCTATCAGCAAGTGATGACAGAAAACAAACCTAGAAGGCCTCCAGCGAACACATCCTGCCAATGATGCCCGTAATCATCAACTCGAGAGATGCCTACAAGAGATGCAATAAGCAGAGGGAAAAAAACAATGCACAGCTTTGCCACGTGCCCTTTCTGATCAAATGCTTTGATTTTCCCAGATAAGTAAATTGAGAGAAAGCCTAATCCAGCAAAGGACCCT